TGCCAAAATGAAAACGAAACGTCACAAATTTTATTTTTATCCTCCAATCACAGGTCGGAGCAATTCCTCTGTTTAGACGCATGTTATTAGCCTAGGCGACCCCAATGCTTTTTCGCAATGTGTGACGTGCAAATGTCGACAGCTGTTATATCCTTGGGCCGGCCCTTTGTTTGTTTCCAAATAAGCCATCTACCTCGCACTTGATCGTTGGGAGTTCACTTCCGAACCTCACACCCGTAAGAGGAACAAACACATGTTCTCGAAAGCTGGCAAAATAAAAAATCGGTTCCTCATTCCATTTTTATATACATGTTATCAGGAGTAGATAATAGGGAATTAGGGGATCCCTATTATCTACTCCTGATGTTATGTATATGTTTCAACAGATGTTAAACAAAATTTTCTTTTAATTATTTTTATCACATGTATGACAATCTACTGTTTAACTCTCACACTAACTACCACTAAGTCACAACAATCGAGTAAATCGGCAGTTCAAGTCTTGCCGCGATCACCAACCACTGCATCCCGGGGTCCCGGGTTCGAATCCCCCTGCTCACCGCTGCTCTCTTGTTTTCCCCCCTGGCAGGAGCTGGTCGACACGGTGGCAGCACTGCAGAACGAGATGCTACACGAACAAGCGAACTTCAACGCGTTGAACCAGCGTCTGCAGCGTCTGGCGGACGACGCGTCACGACAGGAGTATCGCGAGGTGTCGGAGGCGCTGCTGCGGTCGCAGACGCGCATGTCCATGCTGTGCGCGAGAAACATGAGCTGCTTCGCCAAGGTGAGTGGCGCCCTCTATCCGCACGCTGCAGCGCCCTCTATCTGTAGACTGCTGCGCCCTCTATCCACGGATTTCCTCGTATCGTTGAAACTCTGCCGTGGTTGGCGGGTGTGGTGCAGCGGTCGTAACGCTGGGTGTGCGACGTGCGCATGAATCAACTCTGTCATTTGTTCACCACACTTTGAGGTGGGCACTATATAACAACCAACAGCATTCACAGCTTATACATAGCTAGCATTACTGGTGGTTGTTAGATATAGTGTCCACCACCTCGTGCTGATGTCTGTGTAGCAATAATCACACGACCCACGACGCGGAGGTGGCTGCATGGTGAGTCACGCCATCTATTGGTGGTTGAAGGCCGTAAGTGGCTGGCTGCATCGAGTAGGTGTGGAGGTGACGTGGGATGAGGAGAGAGAGAGAGAGAGAGAGAGAGAGAGAGAGTCGGAGAGAGAGAGAGAGATGAGAGAGAGAGAGAGAGAACGAGAGCGTGTGTATGAAGCGCACGTCTGCAGCGTGTACGTGCATGGCATGTTTTCGCGTAAGCTTTCTCAGTGTGTTCATGAGTTAGTGTGTGCAGGGCGGTGCGAGTCCCAAAGCTTGCCGCTAATGCACTCCATAGATTCCACATCCTTAGCTCAACCGGCTATCCCCTTTACTCCCACTGCCCCGTGCAAGAGCGCTGTGGCAGGCAGCGAATGTGTGCTACGCGAGGTAGAGCTATTCAGCATCCCAAAACATTACTGCGGATACGCCAACTCCACACTTTCTACTCTAAACGTTTAAGCATACGACCTCCAATGCCGAATCTTAACAGTCTGCCCCCGCCTCCCCCCGCTCAACCCTACCTTCCATCCTCACGCCCTCCCCCTCCCCCTGCTCCTCGTTCCACGCCCTCGACCCTAGCCTCATCCCTCCCTCCCCCACTTCCCCTACCTTCGCGCCTACCTTCTCATTCTCGCCCATCCAAACGCTTGCTTCGCATCCTCCATCCTCCCATCCTCGACCCACTCCCCCTCTCTGGGCTACCACCACGCTCTGACTGTATAATAATTATAGTGTGTCAGCAGTTAATGTTTCATTACGGCAACAGTGTGCGAATTGTTGTCTGTGTGTGCCTGTCTACACTGACTACCTGCCATACGTAATGTTGTATCAGATGGAGGCAGGCGTGTATGAGAAGGCAGGTAGATAGGTAGGTAGACAGGTATGTAGCCATGTCAGTAAGCTATGGTGTAACAGTCAAGTAGGTGTGTAACGAGCAGTGGATGTGTGCGTGCGCGTGCGCGTGCGTAAGCGATTTTACGCTATGTGATAATAACAGCATTAGATCATCTGTGACCTTCAAGCCAACTATCAGCGTAGAGGAAGTTATTATATTACTGGCAGCTAATAATGAGTTGGACTGCTGACTAGTTTCCAATTGCCTACCGGGCTACGTTTCTAGGCATAGATACAGTAATGGAAGCCGCAACACACGGGCAGGTTGCAACGTCAGCTAGTCTATGTTAGTACTAGTCCCTAGACGTGCTCTACGACTGTTCTGTCGTAAGAGAGGATATGAGATTACTTCTCACCCATGTAGTGAGAAGCGAGAAGGTAGTAGCTTACCTGTGGCTAGTAAATGGTAAAAGTGGCTAGGCACGTTACCTGTGGGCTACAGGTAGAGAGTATAAAAGCGCAGCCGAGACAGCCGTGCACACTGTACCTCACACCTGCTGATGTGGGTGTATATACGTTACATCATATATTACTGTACGTAGCTGTATATATTATATATTATATATTACGAAAGCGCTTGCTCTCCCTGACTCATATCCCAGCAGCTAATTAACAAACGACAGCAATTATAATGAGTGCATGCCACATATGCGCATGAACGAAAGACCCATGGCCTCTGCTACCTGCATGCTGTAACGGCTGCTGGCGTGCGCGCTGGGCGCGGCGTGGTGTGTGTGTGTGTGTGTGCGTGTGTGTACGTGTATTGAATGTCTATTTGCTGTGCTTGCTAACATGCACACATGAGGTCGCGTGATGTGAGTTGTTACCACAATTGTCCATGCTTTATCATTCCAGCAAGCGACGAGGCTACAACGACAAGCTCCTGAGTATAGGTGGCCGCCACGGTCACACAGGGAAGCGCCTCCTGCGGCGTACAATGGTATGTATGCAGAAGAAAGAGAAAGAGGGAGTAGAGGGAGAGCGAGTTGAGAAGAGAGAGAGAGCGAGACGAGAGAAGAGAGAGATGAGAGAGAGATGAGAGAGAGAGAGAGAGAGAGAGAGAGAGAGAGGGAGAGAGAGAGAGAGAGAGAGAGAGGGAGAGGTGAGAAGAGACAAGTGGAGAGCCTGCGAGAGAGAGGGAGAGCATGCATGTGTTTGCAGCATTGGCCTCTAGGAAAGGCTAGCATTCTGTCCCCCCGCTCGTGCCTCTCCGTGTGTAAGCCATCATCCGAAATTTTGTCGAGCTAGCGTGTTTGCACGGGTGGTTGTGATGTTTGTTGGTATGAAGCTATACTAGCAGAATCACGCGATACAAGAAGTGAATCAGCTGACCTCGTCTGTGTCTTGGTGTAGTCTTAAACCTGTACAACTGTCTGTGTGTGTATCTTATAACCTGTAAGGCTCACATACATGTAGCACATACTAACAATGTAACATACATATACATATGTGTATGTATGTACATGTACATGTATTATACATGTCAGTTTACATTTACTTTGGTATTCCAGTGTTGTTTGAACGTATATCGAAGATTTACTTTGATATGTGCAATGTTTGGTGGCGTTTCACATGGTTGAACAAGTGAAGTATGAAATGTTTTTGGTTCGTAATAAATACCCGGAACTTGCGTGCTATATCAGTCTGTGTGTGCGTGTCGATTCGTTAAGCGTGTGAGTGTGTGCATGCGTGGCGTGTGTGTAGCGTCGTGGTTGGCGTGGCGTGCGTGCGTGTGAGTGCGTGCGCTGTGTGCGGCGTTCGTGGTGTGAGTGCGTGCGTGTGTGCGTGCGTGCCGTGCGTGCGTGCGGGGAGGGGAGAATGCAGCAGCTGTGATGGAGGAGGAGGAGGAGGTACTCACGAGTCCGTACGCATCGGCTTGGCAAGTGCTGATCGTCCAAGGGTTGTCTCAAGGGCAGTTAACCATCCTGCCCCCTTCCCTCTTCCCCCTCCTGCCCCCTCCTCCCCGCCTCCTCCTCCCCCTCCTCGTACCCCCTGCCATTCGCTCACCCGCTTCTCCTTCGCCCTGCACTGCCCCCCTCCGGCTTCCTGCCTCCACTTCCTCCTCCTCCCCTTCCTAGCCTGCCCCTCCTCGCTTCCGCCTGCCCTCCGGCCCTCACGCCGCTCCTCCTGGCCCCCTCCTCCTCCCGCTTCCTCATTCCCCCTCCTCCTTCCCTCCTTCCCCTCCTACCTCCCGCTTCCTCCCCTCCCCCTCTCCCCCTTCCTCCCGCTCCTCCGCTCCTGCCCACGCTTTCTCCTGCATGGCTTCTGCTCTGCTAACTGCAGGAATCACAGCAAGCAACCAAGGTTAGTCAGCTGTCCTGCTCCAGCTCCTCCTGCTCCTGGCCTGCTCGCCCTCCTGCTCCACCTTCTCCATCTAACGTTAGTATAGTACATACATTTCGGCAGCCGTCCCCCCCCCGCCTCCCGCCTGCCCGCTCGCGCAAGCGAGTGTAAGCGAGGTTAGGTGCTGGCGGGATATTAGATGTTACAATAACGTAACCCAACACAAGAGTGTTTACAGTTACGCTGGCCTATGTACTGGCTATGTATCTAAGGGGAACGCGTACATGCGGCTGGCAGTGTTCAGTCCTACTTCACCGCGTGTGTGCACACACCCTACTGTTCACCTACTCGTGGGCTCACATCGTTATGTGACCCAGTTTAGATAGATAGAGAGGGAGGGATAGAGAATGAGGCAGAGAGAGGTAGGTAGATAGATAGATAGAGAGGGAGGGAGCGAGAATGAGGCAGAGAGAGGTAGGTAGATAGATCGAGAGAGAGAGAGAGAGCGCGCACATAGAGCGAAAGAGTGGAGCAGAGAGAGGGAGTGAGAAAGAGTGGAGAGGGAGAGAGAAACAGAGAGAGAGAGGGAGCGCGAGCGCACGACAAAGGGAGAGCACGTGCGCGAGAGAGAGAGAGAGAGAGGACGTAAGAGAGAGAGAGGAGAGATTAGGGGAGAGAAATGAGAGAGTAGGGTAGCTCCCTTCACATAGACTATATATAATCGTCGTCGTCGTGTTGTCATCGTCTGGCTCGCGGCACGGTGTGATTAAACGCAGTTTAGAAACGACGTATCGTCTCTCTGATTCAATATCTTATCCTTCACAGGTCAAGCCAGCATGAAACATATGCTCCCGAACGTTCGCTCGCAGGCCGCTGTCTGACGCTAACGAGTATTTTATTTAATAACCGTAGAAAATATTATACTCAGTTTGACTAGTG